CAGTTCTTTCAAGAGCTTTGGCTATCAACTTAAAGATTGTGTTTGAGATGTGTATGGGAGTTTATCTTAATTGACCTAATTGTCTCTAAAAAAAATCCTCTGTGGGTGTGTGGACAAATAAAGAACCCCGTCAAAAGGCCGACCAATTGGCCGCCGGCGACCATCTGTTGGCCCACAACTGTTGCCTGCGAAATAGCTCAAAGGGGATTCCAGCTTAATGGCAAGCAAAGGATAAGATTTACGAAAGTTTTTACAGGCTCTATGTAATTCTTAATGGGCTGTAAAAGTCCTTTTTGATATTCTAAGCCCAAGTAAAAAAAGGTTTGTGTGTGAAGCATCGCATCATAATCTAATCGCGAAGAGTTTTGATATAAATTGAAATAAATAGCTTATTATTTATAAAATTTTAATTTTCTAATTTTTTTGTGCGGCATAACCTTTTGTATTCCACCTTATAGCCTTCGAGCTTTTCTTCCAGAGCATTCTCTCTCTCTCTCTCTCTCACATGAACCATTTGCAATACCTATTCCATCAATTTCATTATATCATGCCTTAATATTTGTAATTTAAAACTTTGCTTCAATTTTTTGTTCTTTTTGGATCTAATTGAAATCAAGTCAAGGAAGATAGGCAAGATCAATTTGAGATTCCGGCAAAAATATATGACAATATATATATATATACACGCTTTTGAGTTGTTTCATTGTGACATATTGGAAGTTTTTCATACACCTAATTATCTTGGTTATCATTACTTTTTAACTCTTACTGAAAATTTAATTTGGTTTATGTGGATGTAACTTATTAAATATAAATTTGAAGCACCGAGTGCAATTGAAAGATTTTTTAACATGATAATGACTCAATTTAATATTTCCTCCAAGGTTTACCCAACATTATAAATAAATACTATTGTGTTGAGAAATCTCAACAAAATGCGGTAGTTGAATGCAAACTTCAACATCTGTTTAATGTATCTAGAACCCTATATTTTTGGTATCGAGTTCCATTAAAATTTTGGAGCGAATGTATTATAATAACAACAATTATCATAAATTGAACCACTTCCCTTCTTCTTCATCATGAAACAACTTATGAATTACTATAAAATGCTCTGATTGATTATACCTATTTTTTAGTTTTTGGATATCTGACTTTTACTTCTACGCTTATTGGACATAGAACCAAAATTTGACCACATGCTCGAATGTGCACTTTCCTAGGCTACCCACAAGACATGAAAATGTACAAACTATTTGATATGCACAATAAACAAATTTTTAATTTTTGTGATGTTGTATTTCATAAATTCCCTTTTTTCATCGACTCAGTGGATCACTGTATTAGTGATATAGACCCTTTCCTAGTCTTGTATGCCTAACCGAACTCTATTCCCAAAACTTAACATTCCAATAACAATACCACTCTAAATTCATATAAGGTTCATCCTTCTTTAACAACATTACCACTAAAGCGAATAATATCAACACCACTAATGCAGCACCCGAACCTTGTCAATCCATTATGATTATCATGCCACCATCATATTTATGTGATTTTTATATATAAAAAATTGCACAATAATTCAGATCAATCTTATACCACTATCAATATCCCATTTGACCCC